AAATAGCATTGGTCATGATTTAGGCCTTTTTCTTGAACCACGAAGGAAGACTTTTGTTGCATGCACTTTGGGCTTTTAGGGTCGGAGGAGAGTCCTCGGGTTTGAGGATGCTCTCATGGCTTCCCAATTGTGGAATGCCCTGTTCTTAGTCTGGGACATTTTCAGGCGGGTAGTTGCCGCTATAGGAGCCTTATAGAAGGTCTATGTACCTTGCAGAAGTCTTAGAGATGGGGAGGGGGAGGTGGGCGAGTTGCCTGAACGGGCCCTTGGCATCAAAGCGCTCTTGGGGATGCACTTTCCAGGACCTCAAATAGGTGCAGGGTTCGTCCGCGAGGACCAGGCTTCGTAGTTGTCTTGTTTGCCTCGCTTCCCAAAACGTGGGTTCGGTACCTTGTCGGTTTGACACGTACTGAATGGTGAAGGCTGGGGATGGTTATCCTTGGGCGACAGCAACGTCCGGGCAAGAACAAGGATGTTACGGTTCTTTACCTGCGCACGGTGCCGCAAGGTGCCTGTCGCCTAGCTCTACTCTAGGCTCCGCATAGGCACTCTTTGTCGCTCGAGAAGCTCGGGGAGTTTAGGCATTGTGGTTGAAGTCGGAGGGTTGTAGGGTGTAGGGCCTAAGGGTTACGGTTACCGTAGACCCCAAACCAGAAGACCCGCGGAGGCCCTGATCGGGCAAGCACTCGATCACTCCTCCGTGTTCGTTTTCGGTGAGCTCCTGGATTGTCCCAACGTCAAGGTACAGGGTTTTGGGCTTTTGGGTTCAGGGTTTAGGGTTTGGGGTTCGGGGTTTAGGGTGTAGGCAGATACGAGGCTTGATAAAGGCTTTTATAGCGCTTTACAAGCGGTTCTGTATTGGGTTCCTTAAATTGAGGCGCAGCTGGTTTGGGCTTATGCTATCGCTATCGAAGTTTGGGCTAGGGCTCAACAGGTTAAGGGTTGCAGACCCTTGGTTTGCTAATGGGGGCAGTGGATTCATCCGTTGTGTGGTGCACTCACGCCTCTCTTGGGGCGGGGTCCTGGGTTTTCGGATTCAGGGCTTGAGCTCGTTTGTGTTGAGGGGTCAGGGTTGACATTTAGGGCCCTTTGGAGAGAAAGGTTTGCAGCTTCGTTTAGGTGTTGCTTCCGTTTTACGACTTTGGTCTCGGAGCAGTTAAGGCCTGGCTGCTGGAGGGTAAACGGGAATGCAGGAGCTCAGTGAGTTTTGGCAGTGCGTTGCTTTCAGGTTTCCTGGGCGCACAAACGCCTTCCCTAAACTCTGCGATGCTGGACAATCTCGAAGCGCAATCCCAGATCCCAGCCCGGTGACGGTTACTTGTAGCACATTGCCAAACCCGGCCCTAAGCCATGTAAGCAGGCACTTCAGGGAACCGAGTTCCAACGCGCCCTGGAGCTGCTTCGCCTCTTCGCCTACGGCACTTACCCCGACTACAAGGCCCAGCATGTCTGTGGCTTCAAGGTGTGCCTCGTAAACGGATCCTGATGAAATCCCGAGCCGAGAATTGGAGTTGCTTGGTGTTGGGCGAGCCTTAAGACTTCCCTGAGGTTCTTACGTTAGATGCGGGCGGGCGAACACTTGAAGACGGGTGTAGTCGGAGGTTTATCTCCACTTAGGCTTGTGCAGCTTTGATGTTGCTGGGAAAGCTCCAGCCCCAGTAAAATACTCCTTCAGGAACTTCCACCATGAGAAGCTGCTGTCCACTACTACTACTACTACTGCTGCTACTACTACTACTACTACTACTACTACTACGACTACTACTACTACTACTACTACTACTACTACTACTACTGCTACTTAGTAGTATGCCTGCTACTGCTGCCTATGCTGCTTCGGCTTCTACTACTGCTACTTCTACCATGGCCACTACACGGCTCTCCTTCTGGACCCTCAGGGGAAGATGTGGTGGACAGATGGCGGTGTTTCTGCTAGACCTCTTAGTAAGAGAGACGCTAGGACCATCCTTGAGAATTCTTATCGGCTGTTCCTGCATCTTTCCCAGTAGCCCTCTGTAAACAGTTTGGCCCAGCGCACGTAGGCTCCTAGGAGCGGCAGGGCGGAGGTCAGGTAGGATGGGTGGCAATTTGCCGCGCACAAAGCGCCACAGACGCTCAGTGGACTCTCTCCGCTGCGAGTTGAAGTGAAGTAGTACTACGGTGAAGCCCTGCATAAATCCATCGTGCACTTGAGCCCAAAACACTGATAGAACCCCGTCACAACCCTGATAACCTTTACAAGTCAACTATGAAGCCTTAAAATGCTTGTTTACCACAGCCCTTTTCAGGTTCCAAGCATTTATCATCTTTTAACCCCTGAAGTCCCAAAGCCCGGGACCCTAAACCTTAGACCGCCTGCTAAACCCTAAGCCCTAAACCCCTGAACCCTAAACCGAACAGGCCCGGCAGAGCGAGCTCGGCGAGCTCACGGCAGCGCAGAAGCGAAAGCTGCAGCTGCACCGGGGCCGCACGGGGCTCCCGGAGTTAGGTGGGATTTTTTTGGGTGGGCTCGAGGGCTTCCAGGTTTAGGGTTTAGGGTTTGAAGTAAGTTCGCGGTTTTTTTTGGCGACTTTGGGTTGGGATCCTTTTCAGGTTTTGTTTGTTGAAGACCTTATGGCTCAGGGTCGGTTAGCCGTCAGCCCTACATGGCTCTAGGGTTCAGGGTTTTCAAGTCCTGGGAGCCCGCGATAACAACCTCAATCCGACAGGCCTTCAGCTTGGGTCATTCTCCATTCTCCACACTGTGGTAGCTGTGAATGTAACTGCAAGGGGGGCTTACCTAAGTCTCTTGTTTTAGCCACCGTGGTTTGGAACAGCGGCAGTCCCCATTGCCCACAACTTCCTGTACGCTTGCGCTTGAGGCTCACGCTGGTCACCATGGCCACACGGGACCTGGCGCAGGGAACAGGGGCCCTACCCGAACTCCCTCGCTGTGGATTGTCTTGCAGGGGTTCAACGGTTCCACATTGAGAAGGTTTCCATATCAAAGCTCCTCTCTTGAGAGCTCGTGGATTGTCAGTGTTATTGTGCATTGTCAAAGGTCCAGGCTCGCTGACACGCCAAAGCACCAACCCTTTACATCAAAGATGATACTATAGTTATGACATCGTAGACCCCCAGACAGTGAATACAATAAACAGAGAAGACCAGTGAAATATCAAACACACACACACACACACCCGCCACTGGGGCCAAATCCAAGAACACTTTCCAAAACCCCACCTAGATGGAGTGATTGCGAGATCACAACAAGACACCACCCTCGCAGAATCGCAAGCCCCACACAGCCGTGGGGACCACAAGACCACGCGAAAAGGTTGAACACGTGTGCTGCGTGCCACAGCTCGAGTCGTGGAATCGAACCTCTTAAAACCCTAAACCGGGGTCCTAGCCAGGACAAGCTCATCAAATACTCTGACCTGGAGGCCGGGTTTAGTGTTTGGGTTTTAGGTTCTTTTCTTTGATACCGGCTTTTCAAAGCTCCTAAACCCCACACTCTAAACCCAAAGCCCCAGATCCAGCACCAAAGTCCCGCGCCCCAAACCCCGAAGTGTTCTCTTCCTCGGAGGCTGCCGTGGATGTTTCCAGCACCCGTGAGCTCGAAGACCTGACGATCGAGGCGTGACTGAGGAGTTCGGGTTGCGGGTTTAGGATAGGGCCTCGGGTTTAAGAGCATGGATTTAGGGTTTTGGATTTGGGGTTGGGGCTCAGGGAAGGGCCTAGGGTTTAGGGTATCGGTCATCCGGACTGCCACCAAACGACATACTTGGCGACTTAAAGGATGCGCTTTAGGATTTCGGGCTTCGGGTTTGGTTTCGGCTGCTAGGGTCAGGGGTGTGAGGTTTAGGGTTGGGGTGGGATTGGACTTAGTGTCTGCGGTTTTGGGGACATGTGACTTTGGGTCCGACTTAGAGTTAATATAGGGGCCTTGATAATTACCTATACTGTACTGTTTTTTTTTATTATGCTTGTAGTATAATATACCCCAAAACCCCATTCCAAATTATATTAAGGCCTTACATGAGGTTTGAGGGCTCGACTTTGGTTGGAGTATTGCGGTCCAGGCTTTGCAGTAAAGCCTTGGACTGAGAGTTCAGGGTTCGGGGTTGCTGGGATGTATGGGTTTTCGGTTCCGAGATGTCAGGTTCAGGGAAGAATTAGGGCTAAGTCTTAGTGCGGTAGGGTTTTAAGGGCTTAGGGTTCAGGGTTTCCCATATCTCGGAACCCTCTAGCACTCCTCTTCTCAGAAGCATTCCGCGTTTGGTGCCCTAAGACCCACATCATGCCTTGCAGACGTAGCAGGAGCAAAGGTCTCCGTTCAAGAGCCCGGCTCTGTTCGAGGGTTTTCGGAAGATAGGGGCAATAGGACCCTATACTATCACCGTTGATGTAGGGTCCTTCATTCTCTGAACAAAATGTCATTATCGGTCGAAGCAGCGCCAAAGTAGAGCCGGGTGCAGTTTGCCGTGGTCTGACCATGGCCTCGGCAAATTTGCGCCCCCCGGGGTCGAACTCCCAAGCGAGTGGCATGGGAGGTTCAGAGTCCCTAAACCCTACAGCAAGGGACACCGTGGACGCTCCTTTGTTGTTAACTACTTGTGTTCCAGTGAACCGACATTACACGTGTAGTAATTAGAATATTCAAAGAGTAAAGCCACAAACCCTAAACCCCCGAAGCGGAAGCGACCCGGATACGCCGAATACATGCACCCGAAGCCTTGGTTTGAGGAAACTGATTCGAGCTTCTTCCCTGATGCAGGCCGTGTACCAGAATCTCTTGGTTGCGAAAATGGACCAGGCGTGCTTAAATGTTTCATGCACCTCGAGTTAGGGGAATGGCTGTGACTGGGAATAGGTGGAGAGTTTGGCATGTTTCGGTTCTTCACCCGCTCTACGATTGGCTAAGGTTCAGTTTAGATCTTTCTGGTTAGGATTTCCTGTTCGGCGGCTGGGAGTTTCAACGCAAGGCTGCAGTTGCCTTAGTTATCTATCGCAAGACACTTCAACGCCTGTTCGGCAGCGGCTACGAGCCCTAACATGCCTCTCGGTATTGGGGCCATAGCCTCTTATCTCAATGTCGCGACTGAACACGCGACCATGCCCCCTGCGCTATTCACTTCAACACACTGGCGTAGAGACGGGTTTGGGAGCTCGGGTGTGACGGTATCAGGAAGGTTTCGTAGGCAAGCTAAGGGCTGCGAGCCGTCGACGTCTGCCAGGAAAATCAGTGTGTGCTCGTCGACTCCTGCGCGTGCAGAGATTGCAGGGACGAGGAGCCAATGTGTTGGGCTTGCTCTAGATTGGGAGGACAGGCTAGCGTGATGTATCTGCATACATCTGTACATAGATATATGAAGAAGCATACGGACATGGTCATGCATGTATATGAAAGTACATATTGAATCGCAGAGGTAATGCTTACATATATTCGTAAGTACATGCACAGGTTTGTGATCAGGCAGCTTCATCAGCCATGAGGATCATAGGTCATAGGTCTATGACGATCCATACTCGGCACACTTCGTTGGAATCCCGAGCCACGCCTGCCTGGCTGGAAGTTGAAGCAGAAATCATAGTACGAGTTAGGGACGCTAAACCCTAAACTCCCAAGCCTAAACCCGCAACCAAAAACCAAAACCTAAGCCCTAAACCCAAACCCCAACACCCTGAGAAGGGAAGCGAGGAGGAGGAGGACGCCGAGGGCCGAGGATGAGGAGAAAACGGAGCCGGAGGCTGCACCGGGCTGGACCCTACACCCGAGGCCCGAAATCCCAAACCCTAAACCTCCCTGACACCCCAAGTCCTAGAGTTAAACACGAAACCCCGAAACCCGAAACCCGAGGACATCGACTACATCATCGAGACCCTGACCTCTTGGCAGCAGTCCGCCCAGGGCATGATCCAAGCGCTCCTGGGCTAACATAGGGTTGGGTTTGGGCTTTAGGGGTCCGGGTACCCTTGTTATAGTGTTGAGGGTATACATGGTCGGGTCAGAGTCAGAGCAGCCCATGAGCAGAACCCTCACTGTTCCTGTCAAAGAAGGCTAACTTCGTAGTCAACCCGAAGCAGATCCATGGCAGTGTCTCGCGGAGTCTCCCCCCGTGATCCTTCAGAAGTTCGGCTGAAGAAGACTCGAAGCCTTGGAGCCCAGGAAGCTCCTAATGATTTGAAGAGGGTTTTAGGGTCTTTTTCTTGTAGTGTTACAATACGAAGGAATCCAAATAGATCAGAAGTCCGAAACTGCAACCCGGGAAAAGCCCGGAACACCTTCAGCCCCCCTCCCGAATTGAGAATCGGTTCAGGGCTTACAGGGTCAGGGGTTTAGAGCTTAGGGTTTTACCTAAATCCCACAAGCCTAAGCCTTGAAAGCCGGAACCACCCAAGCCCGAAACTAAAGAGGCCTTAAACCCAAGATCCCAAAAACCCTAAACCTTAAACCCTGGAGATCAGGCTTGATGGAGCAGTCGCGTGAGCCTGATGTCTTGGAGCTATCCCCAACATCTCATAGTTCTAGGTTTTCAGGGTGTAACGGTTGCGGGCTTAGGGTTTCAGGGAGGGCTTGAGCAATTTAGTGTGGTTACGGTTTAGGGTCGTGGGTGCAGGTTTTAAGGGTGGGGCTTTTATAACACTCTCTAAGTTTGGGTCTTTGGCTTGAGTCCTTCGCTCAGTTGCTGCGGCAGCTTCAGAGCGTAGTTGGGAACAGGCTGCTTGCAAGCATCTTCTTGCCGGCTGAAGTTGTTCGCCATGACTGCTGGCTTTCTGGTCATGCCGTTTGCACGAATGTGGTTCTACTTGTTTCCGTGCACGGTTGCGGCGAGCAGTACGGCTTGACCTCGAGTAGGAAATGGTATAAGTCACTGTCATCGTCATGGCGTCAGGATCTTGTCATCCGTCGTTGTTGTAGTTGTCGCCGCAGCAGAAATCAGAAACCAACAGCATCTGAGCGGTGCTGCTGGTTGGTGTGTTTTTGTTTAAGTATTTTTGTTTTCGTGTTGTCACTCAAGTTCGTAGTGTGGTATACCTATGGGCACCGACACTTCATTCGGCATCCACATGAAAGCCATTCATGAGGTTATAGGCTTATCATTGTCAATCTTGTCATTGCTTGCTCACGATTTCCTCAAACCTGATTGAGCTTTGGGTGCAGGTATGCCAACACAAGCCACGAGAAGCAGAAGGTTGCGATGGAGGAGTTGGAAAAGGAGGCGTAGGGCCGTTTCCACCACTACCCTGAGCCCTAAACCTTACGCCCTATGCCCGAAGTCTTAAACCCGAGCTCCGCGGTACAAGCTTGAGGGCAGAGTTGCCGCAGGTCAAGTCTATCCGGGACAGCCTCAAGGAGACCGTGACCTTTCAATGTATGGTGCTTGCCTGTTGGTTGAGGCTGTGCTTTGGAATTGTGATCTCGATGCTGGGGCCCTTGCAGCCAGGTTCAGGCTGCCCTCAAAATTCAGGTTTGAGAGCGTATGTTGTTTTTGTGTGTGCTCTTCAGCAGTACACCCCAATGCCCGAAGCCGCACTGGACCGAAATCCACCCAAACCCTGGTCCCTAAACTTCAAACCCTGATCCATATCATTAAAATCCTTAAAACATGCAACTTACATCCTCAACCGTTAAACCAAGCCAGGCTTGTGCCCCACAACCCTCAGCCACGACAAGTCGTGACAGAAGCAAGTCAGCTCTGCGCCGTGCCGTTGGCTGATGCTGCAGGGTAAGTGCCTGAAGGCTCCATGTGCACGATCTACAGTGGGGTGTAAGAACGTGTTGTATCTACTTTGGGCGCTTTGGAGCCCCGGGGAGTGCCAGGTTGAGGGTGTGGTATGGGCCCTATGGGCGTTTGAAAGTTGACGTATCTGGCTGTCGATTCATCGACCTTCTTTGCCTCCCCTAAATCTGAACACATCAGGAGCGACCAAGAAGCCTCCAAACCTAAAGTGCAAAGTTCCCAGCCTGATCTCGCTGAGCCTTTGGCCTCCCGAAAGGAGGGCGAGTCCACAAAGGCGGGCGGCGTCGGGTGCACTCGAATGCAGATCGACGAGGCGGACGAGGCGCTTTACCGGCTTGGAGTTCAGGCGCCAAGTTAACGAGTGTCAGTCAATACGTCAATCACTCCGGGCTGAATATAGGGGCCTTAATCATTACCAATAGTATTTTGGGGTTCCTTAATATAATTATGGTACAAAATACCCCAAAAGCCTAGTCTAATTATTAAGGCCTGCCTCTTAGGGCATACGCCTTCATCTCGCTCTGAAGAGCCATGCCTTAGCCCTTAGACTTGAACTTTGCCAGAACTGTACTTTGACGCCCAGGCATCTCTGTTTGGGAGAGACCTAAGATCCGGCAAGCAGACGAAGCAAAAGGGGAAACAGAGAAGCACTTCTGAGGCACGATCACAGCAAGGTAGTCGTCATCTCTAGTCAAGATGCACCACTTCACCCCCCTCCACCCCCAATCGCCACAGCCGCCGCGTTGGTGCGTTCTGACGCGCACAGCAGCTTCCTGCTTGGCCGGCTCTCGGTCGTATCTACCTGTACAGGGTTTAGCAGTTTAGCAGTTCAGCAAACGTGAGCAGCTTTAGGCTTAGAATCATGCCCAACGGGGTATTTCTCAACTCATCTTCGTTGCCATTTTCAACTGGCTGCAGACCACGTCACCATTATCGCCGGCATCATAATCATCATCGTTGATGCCTTCGTCATCGCAGTCGTACATTATCATCATCACCAGTCAAACGATCACTCCTGTCTCATTTCGTAAGCGCTCAAGAGCCATCTCCCCTCTTGCAGGAGTCGAAGCGTGCAAAGAGCACACGGGGTCGATGGGTGGGAGGCCCCGTGCTCAGGCTTGCCTATGTGGAGATTGCCGTTAGCACGTGCTCTAGTTAGTGGCAGTGGTGGCACCATCATATTATCATTCTGCCCCTAGTCCATACCCTCACTGGCATCGTCACCTTCCCGACCCCGACCCTCGATTGCAATCCTTTGTCCTCCTCCTCTCCTGCATTGCTGTTGTCTTTATGGAACTCCTTGTCATCGCTTCCTCATCATCCACATCGCTGCAGCGGCTTCCGTCAACATCGCCACTGCCAACACTGCCATCTTCACAACCATCCAATTTCTGCCATCACCATCAGTCGTCCCTCCCAAGTTCGCTGAAGTTGCCCGACATTCCAGCCTCCCGGGCCAACTAGCTAAAGCTATAATAGCTAGGCCACTCGTGTGGACAGTGTCTTTTTGTAGCCATCACACTTGTAGTGAAAGCCATGCGGGCATCAGGAATGATAATCAGCGAAAGCAACAGCCAAACTGGAACGAGGACAATCTGATAGTCTAGCCAGCCGCTAGCAGCAGTGCCAAATTACGGTGACAATGATGGCAATACCAACGAGAAGACATGTGGCCATGCAAACAATTGTATCGGCGAGGCCAATGATATGTAGAATCGCGGTTGTAAGGTACGCTACTGAAAAAAGATTTACAGGGGTCAAAACAAATTCAGGCTTCATCACATGTGGCGTTGTGCTTGTTGTGACATCGGTGCAGCCTTCAACGACTATGCTCCTAACTGCGATAAGCACATCTGATGATGTTGCCCCTGTAAACGTGGAAGCTGCAATCGCAACTGTCGGGTGCAGCAGCAAGTAAAAGGGTTAACAGCACGTCATGCGTTCCAAAGCCGTGAGCCTTAAACTGTACTAGCTGACTTCCCCTGTCTCAGGAAAGCACTGACGCATGGAACACGCGAGAAAAAGCCGAAGCCGTAGTGTGAAAGGCTCATGTGTCATCTTGAAGTTTTGTGTCATCTTGGAGTTTTGGCCCTCTAGGGGTTCTACTTGCAACGGCGGGCCTTGCGGTTCCACGGCATTTCCGGTCAAAGTGGGCTTCTCGTGCGGAGGTTTGCGCATGGTGAGAGTCAGGTAGTATGATTGGCTACTGACCGCTGAGATAAGCCTTACAACATGACGGCGCTGTCCCGCATCGTAGCCGGCTGTGGCGGAAGTTGAAGATGATTCTGGCTCGTTTGCTTGAAGCATCT